GCCATTTCTTCACAGAGATGGCGAAGTGACGGAGAAAGAGAGAGACGAAGATGGCGGGCGATGGTGATGAACGAACACAGAGAGAGACAGCGCAGAGGTGGCGATGGCTATAGCGATGTCGATGAAAAACGAACAGAAAAAGAGAAGAGACCGGCGACGAAAAAACGAGCAGAGAGAGAAGAGAGCGGCGACAGAAAGCTGATAAAAATTGAGGAGAGAGAGAGACTTTACTTTATGAATAAAATGGCAAAAAATAAATGAATAATAATAAGCTTGGTTTATATAGGGGGAGTGAAATGGAAAAACAAAATAAAGAGAAGAGAGTGCAGAGGAAAAAAATTAAAGGGGGGACTGAACAGAAAATTGTAAAAGGGAGGGGGGATTTAAATGGAATTTTCCGATATAAGAATGTGCCAACAATTCTCTTGGCAAAAATTTGTTCGATTTCCTGGGAGTTTTTAACATATTTTATTCACATTTTGATAACCTGTTATATATCATCCCCTTTATTTTATTATTATTATATTATTATTATTATTATTATTATTATTTTTTTTTTTTGTTTAAAAATTATTAAATCTTTCACGTCACGCCATTGATTTATCCCCACCGTACTCTCTCGTGACATTTTATTTTCGGTTTAAATATATTATTTCCAACCCCAACCAAAATGAGAAATTAACAAATAGACCCCTAAAAGTCAAAATAAGATCGTAATTGTAATTCTTTTTCCTCTCTCACGCACCACTGTTTTTTCTTTTTTTTTTTTTAGTCTCACACTCTCTTTTCTTGTCCTGTCTTTTCTGCAGCGCAAGTATTATTTAATAATTATACGAGGATTTTGGAATTTCAGCTGAGGCTTTAGCAGAGGTAAGTAAAGACTGAATGTAAAGTTTCTATTTTTTTTTTATTTCGTTTTAGAAATTATTGCTGGGTTTTCGATTTTTTTTGTTTTGTGTTTTTTTGGTGGATCAAATGAAATTCCTTAACGGGTAAGAAAAAACGAACTGAATGTGAATTAAAAGATAAAGGTTCGCGTTTTGAGGAAGGATAATAGCGTTGTAGGGTTAAAAGCTTTTGATTGAGATCTAATGGTTTGCTTACTGAATCTGTATACTTCCAGTTTTGTTGTCATCTATGTATCTTAAGCAGTGAACAGAAAACGTCTGATGGATTGCTTTTTATTAGCTGAAAAATGTTTAAGCACTAAAGAAATTTGGATTTTTGGTAGGTGTTTGCAAGGCAATCTTTGGTTTTTAGCAGTGAATTAACACATTTCTTCCCGCGTAGAAGTCGATTTGTTGTTGTAGTTTTGGCAAACACTCCATTAATCATTGAGCATGTAGTGGATAATGTGTGTGGTCCTATCGAAATTGGGTGGGGAATATATATATACAAAGGTAAACCGAGTATAGATGTAAAGATTGAACTCTATATGTTGAGACTTGAAATCCAGTGACTGTTGATACTTGGCATGGTTTTGGGTGTTATTGATAGGTATTCTTTGTCATCTAAATTTAATATGTTTCCGAATATGAAATCGAGTTCATGAATTGAGTGCCAAATTTGGGTCTTCAATAGTTAATTATTAGATTTCACACTTTGGTTGTGTATCTCTTTAGAAGAGGCTCAACATGTTCAGTAAATACGCAGCTATAGGCTTCATATGTTGCGGGTACCTAAATATTAGCTTGTAGCCCCCGTTTTTAGTGATATGATCCAAGTGAATTTCCTGGACAACAATTTTTCTGGTTGATTTTTATGTTAGTCGCTGTTTCTTGTTCTTCAAATTAATCCTTTTGAAGCAAAGTAATTTACAGCGAAATCTTAACATGTAGCTCGCAGTCCGTGATGTTGAACAGCAGCGCAATGAATCCTTTTGGCAGAGAGTGATAAATTTGTATTCCTTATCTTATTACAGGCATATATTTGATCAAGTACAAGCTGTCAAGGCAACAAAGATATCAATAATATAAGAGGTTGAACTTAGTATAAACAGTGGAAGAATACTTTAGAATCTGCTCTCTGTGCCCCTTTTTGTATCTATGTTATGAATATAATTATTGAATTCAGAGAAGGTTCTCATGCATGAAATGCTTATATTTGCAGAGTAATACCCTGCAGTTTGCGTCCATCGGGTGACATTGGGTTTTGACTTACTTCTTCAGAAATATTGAATGGATGTAATTATTTCAGTTTCAAGCCTTTAATATCGGTATAAGTGTCCAAGAATGGCAGATGCCAGCCCTAGGACAGACACTTCGACTGATGCTGATACTGAAGATAAGAATTTGAGGGTAATTTTGCATCTATAATACAATAAGGACATCCGTTATTTTCCCGCTTTTTTCTTGGTGCCAGTTCCCTTTTTCGTATTTACCACAACACGCACTTGGTTGTTGAATTGGGAAGTTCTTTTGTTTCTTTTTGTAGTACCAAAACAATCAAATGCAGACTGTAGTTGCTTCGGATGGCAGTGATAAATCCAGAGATCAAAAGGTTTTTCAACTCTTATTTGCTTATATACATGTTCTATGAATAAAAATAATAATTAAGAAAAAACACACTAAAAGTTCTAAAATGTATGATCACGACGTCCTGCAGACTCTCCGTAGGCTTGCTCAAAATCGTGAAGCTGCAAGAAAGAGCCGCTTGAGAAAAAAGGTAGGTCTTTAACATTAATAACTTGTATCCTTGCATTAATTATTTACACTTGCCTTCACTATCCATTTACTGCATCATTTGTTCCATTTAGTTTTCATATGATATTAATTTTATCACCCATAGGTAGTTTTTAATATTATCTTATACTCGTTCGTAGTATTTTTCTTCTTGGACTTACCTTTTACCTTTTCGTTCATTTACAAATGTCTTACATTTTTTTTTTTTCGTTTTCCGTCTCTGGTATTTAGGCCTATGTTCAACAACTAGAAAGCAGCCGAATGAAATTGACACAACTTGAGCAAGAGCTCCAACGGGCAAGGCAGCAGGTTCTCTTATGTTCTCAGCGTAAATAATTTAAGAGGCACGGAACAACTTATTTTATGTTTTTCTTCTTAACAATTTGGTAATATGGTTATATGTGCTGAAGGGGGTATTTATTTCGAGTGCTGGAGACCAAACCCAATCCGTCGGAAATGGTAAGAATTATGTTGCCTGTGTATCTAATTTTCAAGTTCCTAACAAGTTTCTTTATAGATAAAGAAAAAAAATAAAGACCTAGAATTGTCTAGGAGATTGTAGTAAATTCTTGGAATCTTATTTTGTGGTACAATGATACAAAAAAGGTGGAAAATAAGATTTTTAACTGGATTGGTAGAGGAACGTTTGAGATGGTAGAGACAAAACTAACAGAAAGCAAGGTGGAAAAGGGAAAAAATAAAGAAAGGATAAAAATGTATATTTGGACTTCTTGAGGTTATAAAACTAGAAAAAGTTGGAGCACCCAGTGATGGCCATGCCAAAAAGAGAGAAAAGTCAGACAATTTAAGTTTTTCTCTCATTCTTTGAGCTTACTTTTCATGAAATAAGTGCTTCAAGCTGGTCTACTGATGAGGCATAAAGAGCTATATATTATTAGTTTTTTTCCTCGATAGAAAGTTGACTTGACTAGATGTATATGAGGAACATACTCGAGTGGAGATTTTTTGCGCCCGCAAAAAATCTTGGATAGGTATAGAGGAAATTAGTTCATATTTGGCCAACAATTATATATAATCTAATTTATTGGATAGCTGTGAAAGGACGAGAGTGAACCCAATGGGAATTATAAGACAAAGTTGATTGATTATACTGTCTTGATGAGGCACTATCTCTCTCTCTTTTAATTTTAAATGCTCTTTAGCTCCATTTACTGGTTGCTCGGGTTTTTTCTTTCTAATACCCGTGATTAGCATATTTTCCTGCAATATTTGGTCTTCTTCCCAGCTACAAACAGAAGTCCCTCATTAGGGAAAAATAAACAAACGGCTAACTGCAAGCAATACTCCTGAGGCTTATTGTAATCACATACACTAAAAAAAAATTAGTCATCTGGCACTTGATATTTGTTTTAAAATTTACAATTTGCCCCCGAATAAGTTTACAACAATTCACTGGGGTATTTACAATTAAATATAAAATTTGAGTAAACCGTTAGGTTAGATTTGAGTTCCATGAAAACATCCACATTATTTTGTAGGTGCATTGGCCTTTGATGTGGAGTATTCCCGGTGGCTGGAAGAGCACAATCGGAGGATTAATGAGCTGAGAGGTGCGGTGAGTTCGCATGCAGGGGATGCTGAGCTCCGGATAATTGTGGAGGGAATTTTGTCACAGTATGATGACATTTTTAGGATAAAAGGGGATGCTGCAAAGTCTGACGTCTTTCACATTCTTTCGGGCATGTGGCAGACGCCCGCTGAGAGGTGCTTTCTCTGGCTTGGTGGGTTTCGCTCGTCCGAACTTCTTAAGGTACGTGAGGTCTATACAGCAGTATATCATCGAATTTATTCATGCCTTTGGAAAATCTCTCAGATTGCAAACCGAAAGGGAATAAATTTTAGGATATCATCATTTTTTTTTTTTTAGTTATTCTGAAGTTGGGTGTTTGCAGCTTCTTATAAATCACTTAGAGCCGTTGACGGAGCAGCAGCTGTTGGCCATCAATAATTTGCAGCAGACATCTCAACAGGCCGAGGATGCCCTTTCGCAGGGTATGGAGGCTTTGCAGCAATCGTTGGCCGAGACATTAGCCGGTACTCTTAATCCCTCTGGATCTTCTGGAAATGTTGCCAACTACATGGGTCAAATGGCAATGGCTATGGGCAAGTTGGGAACTCTCGATGGCTTTATTCGTCAGGTTATCTTAGGCTCCATCCATCTATCATCAATATGTATGTACCTTGGTGCTAGGGATACATATATATAAGAAAACAAGTAAATGTTTCTTTATTGTGAATGAGATTTCCAATTTCTTTCTACCTGTGCAGGCTGACAATTTACGGCAGCAAACCCTGCAGCAAATGCACCGCATACTGACGACCCGCCAGTCCGCCCGGGCCCTCCTTGCTATCAGTGACTACTTCTCTCGGCTTCGGGCTCTTAGCTCGTTGTGGCTCGCCCGCCCTAGGGATTAACATTTTTCCTTTTTTTTTTTTTTTCTTATTTTCTTTTTCTTGCTCTATTTCTCTAAAAATACAACTGAGTTTAGTTTGGGTTTATCCAGTGCGTGACTAGTGTACTGTGGGACTGTAATATGGTGGTGAATGCATGCAGAGAATCATTGTATGGTTCTCGTGTAATTTATACGTGCAAGTGGCCCGAGCAGCCGAGCTCAATGTAAAGAGAATTTGTTGCGATATGTGGATTGGATGAGCGAGTTCAATTGAGACTGGATTTGCTTTTAGAATAAAACTACATTACGTTCATCAACTGGATTTTTTTTTTTTTTTGTTATAATAAGACAAAGTACTAACGTTCCAAGTAATAGGAATCATTAATCTTGGTCCATCTTTGTTATATGCACGTTAAAATTTGGAAGCTAAGGGGATATTTTTTTGTTTATGGAATTCCCCCGTATCTCTCTCTCACGCTCATCTCTCGCGCAAGTTTTATTTGATTTTTAAAAATATCGGTCGAGGAGTTCTGTTCTTAGCAGCAACGCACAAATTGTACTCTCTGTCTCTTCACATACCACAGCGCTGCTTTCAATTTTTATTTTTTTTTAATTTGTCGCACCTTTTTCTGGCGAGCCCTCCTTCCCCAGCAGCCGTGTTCCCGGCGACCGCCATCATCACCATACGTCCAAGATGTCGACCATATTGGGGTATCATCACAAGATCATAATCATAATTGAGAGAAAAACAAGTTTCTATTACTCACAAGAATAAAAACAAGAGATTTACAAACTCTAAAAAAAAAACTTTCAAACTCTCCACAACTCTATTTGGTTGTGTTTCAACACTCTCAAAGTTGATTGATCACACTCTAGAATGATTTGAATGAATGAAATGAGAAACCTATTTATAGGAAAAAATTAGCACACCACCATTGACAAGATTTAGCACACCACCGCTGACAAATGGTGTGTGAAAGGAGAAGTTTGGTGGATGGTATATAGTTAGCCATTGATGACTTCTTTACACATGATGAAAAATTCTCTCATTTCTATGCAAGTTCTGAACAAGCATTTCTACTATGTCACTGCATAGTTTAAGCTTATCCAGTGTAACCACTTTTGTCAACATATCTTATTGATTCTCCTTCGTATTGATCTTCACTTGTTTCAACAGTTGAATCTTTTCGCATATCCAGTGATACCGAACATCAATATGCTTAGTGCGGGCATGGTACATGGAGTTCTTGCTTAAGACAATAGCACTTTGATTATCACAATATACCTTATACTCTTTCTGTTTGATCCCAAGTTCATGGAGATAGCGCTTTCGCCACAACATTTCTTTACCAATTTGTTTTTGTCTTTTGTTGAATTTTTTCATGGCTTGATAGAGAATTTGATAAGCCAATGCTTTTTTTCTGTGTTTCAGAATACGGTTAACCAACATAAATCCACCGGTGAAATATACACGAAAAACATGTAGAATCATCATTAGGACCATCATACTTGCCGACCATCGATGAATTATTAGACTGGGATCCAATTTTCGGGGAAGATGGGTCGAAGCAATAACTAGATTATTTCTAGTGGAACAACTTTCAGAGAGATGTTTCGCTACTAGACGGAGAATTCAAAACAATTTCAGTTGTTACAAAGATATGACCTATTTAGTTTAGCATATCTTGACTGCTTCTTTAGATTTAGATAATACGAAGTGATGAGTTGGTTTTTTTCAGACAGACTACCCGACTGGTCTTTTTTAATCCTATAAATAACAAAAACCAACGAGTCACACACTAAGCATAGCATTTCTATCAAAAGGTCAATCAAATTTTTATTTTATCCTATAAGAATTAAGAAAGCATTAAGAATTAGTTTGATTGGTCAGAAAACGAATGAATGGCTTTCCCCCCTTTTGGTCTATCAATAGATAGAAGGGGACAAGAATTCAAATTTTTTTATTCTTCTTCCTTGTCTATAAAAATCCAAATTTTGATGCCTAATACCCTAAAAATAGTCCGAACTGTATAGGAACAATAATCCAGTTTTGCTCGAATGGTTTGTAGGGGAACTCTCCCCTCTCTGATCCACACGACGCGTGAAATTTCTTTTCCGCCAATACGCCCTGAAATTTGTATTTTAATTCCTTTTGTATCTGCTAATTCAATAGCATTTTTCATCGCTTTTCGAGATGAAACTCTATTCTTTAATTGCTCGGCTATAAATTCTGCAAGAATATTAGAATTTCTATAAGGATTTCTAGTTCTTGAGATGACAATATTAAGTTTTCAGTTTGCATAATGAAATTCTTCTTTTAATTCATCTGTAATTCTTTGATTGCTCGTGGTTTATTTTCGAGTAATAACTTTGGGAATCCCATAAAGATTATGAATGTCGTTAAATCGATTCTTTTTAATCTCTATACGGGAAATTCCTTCGGCATTGGAGGATATTTTCAGATTCTTTTGTATATAATTTTTGATAAAATCTCTTATTTTTTGATCTTCTTGTAGATTCTCAAAATAATTTTTGGGTTGTGCAAACCAAATGGAATGGTGGATTTAGGTTGTACCAAGTCTGAAACCAAGTAATATTTAGCTTCTTTTGTGGATAAATCAACACACTTTTGCAATCTTGATTGCCGAGAAATGGCTCTCCATGCAAAAGTGTAGACATAACCCGAAGTTGGCTTTCGACAATCAATATCTCCGGCCATATCAGTATCAGTATATCCTTCCAAGATTGGATCAGCTCCCCCGTAACAAAGACATAACTTAGAAATACCCTTCAAGTATCTGAGAATCCATTTAACTGCCTCCCAATGCTCCTTCCCGAGGTTAGAAAGAACGACTCATTACACCCATTGCATGAGCAATATCTGGCCTTGTACGTACTATTGCATACATCAGACTTCTAACTGCTGAAGAGTAATGTATTGAGCCTTTTCTAAATCTTTCACATCAAAAGACGTGGAAAGTTCTTTCTTCAGCTGACTTATCTTCTCTACATCATTCCCAACGATCAACATGTCATCGACGTATAGTAGAAGAACTATGAAAGCCCCGTTTGAGTATTTCTTGATGTAAACACACTCATCTGAAGTAGTCTTTGTGTAACTTTGACTCTGTATGCATGAATCAAACTTTTTATTCCACTGTTATCTTCTCTGCATCATTCCCAACGATGAACATGTCATCGACGTATAGTAGAAGAACTATGAAAGCCCCGTTGTAGTATTTCTTGATGTAAACACACTCATTTGAAGTAGTCTTTGTGTAACTTTGACTCTGTATGCATGAATCAAACTTTTTATTCCACTACCTTGGTGCCTGCTTCAGACCATATAAGCTTTTCGATAGCTTGCACATGATGTTCTCACTTGAAACCTCAAAACCTTCTGGCTGTTGCATATAGATTTGTTCTTTCAAATCTCTGTGAAGAAAAGTTGTCTTGACATGGTATGGCTCAAATTGAGTTCGTCTTGACAATTGATGCAAAGATCTCGTCAAAATCAATCCCTTTCTTCTGTTGAAAGCTTTTGACAACTAATTGAGCTTTGTGTTTCACCACTTGTCCATTTGCATCTTTATTCATCTTGAACAACCATTTGTTTTTCAAGTCTTTTCCCCTTCCTGAAGTTTAACAATCTCATAAGTTTGATTTTTCTGCAGAGAACTTCTTGCATCGTAATCATCCATTTTTATTTATCCTTATGAGATATGGCTTCTTGAAAACTCTCTGGTTCTCCATCTTCTGTCAATAGAAGATATTCAGACAATGAGTACCTTTTTTATGGTATATGATCCCGTTTAGACCCATCTGAGAACAACTTCCAACATTAGTGTCTGGCAAAATGGGTTGTGGCTGCATTTGCTCCGGCAAGATGGATTATTGCTCCCCTTGCTATGCCAAGATGGGTTTGTTGCTCCCTTTGCTTTGCATTCTCTTCTATCTCCTCTTCTTCTTCTGGTACATCATCTTCATTGTTTCTCGAGAACAATTCTTGTGCTTCATCTGAAACTTGAGCACCCACATTTGACTTTTGAGACATTTTGGGCTTTTCTATGTCTTCTATTGTCAAATTTTCTTGAAACACAACGTCCTACTTCTGATAACCTTTTTCTCCTTTGGATCCGAAAATCTAATCCAAACACTTCATCTCCATAACCAATGAAAATGCATGGGATTGACCTCGCATCGAGCTTCTTTCTGAACTCTATGGATACATGTGCATAGGCTACACAACAAAATATTCTGAGTGTGAGTATGTTGGATCTTTACCAGTCTATATTATCTCTAGAACTTCAAAATTTAATGGAAGTGAAGGTGATCAGTTGATTAGACAACGTACGGTCTTGACAGCTTCTCCCCAAAATGGCTTTGGTAATTTAGCCATATTCATCATGCTTCGGACACACTTTATGATAGTCCGATTCATTCTTTCAGCAACGTCGTTGTGCTGAGGTTACGTGGTACTGACTTCTCATGTCGAATGCCATATGTTCTGCAATATGCATTGAACTCATTAGAAGTATACTCGCCTCCATTATCAGACCGGAGACATTTCAGCTTATTTTCTGTTTCACGTTCCACCATGACTTGAAATGACTTGAAGTACTCAAACACTTGGTCCTTCGTATTTAGGAAATACACCCACACCTTTCGAGAAGCATCATCAATGAAAGTCAGAAAATATCTACTTCCACCCATTGATTCAACCTCCATAGGACCGCAAACATCAGAGTGTACCAAGCTTAACAACTCTGATCTCTTTGTTGAATTGGCATTGAATGAGGCTCTATGCTGCTTTCAGAACAAGCGATGACTGCAAGAACCCAACAGAGCAATCTTATCAACCTTGATAAGATCCTTATTCACTAGGGTAGTCAACCCTTTTTCACTCATATGGCCAAGTCTCTGTTGCCACAGATCTGGGGAAACCTCCTCTGCAACATTGAGACTTTCTGTACTAATTTTCAAATGTGTTTTGTACAGCATCCCAAAAAATGTACTCGGACA